CTCTACTTAAGGCAGTCCAATGACCTTGATTGCGACTTTGTATATATCTGCTTAGTCTACACATAACATAAGCTATATCAGGTCGAGTATAATTTATCAAATACATCAGACTCCTAATAATCTGTACATACTTAGACTGAGCCACACTATCACTTTTATTTTTCTTTAGTTGGGTATTAGCATCATAAAAAGTATTCACAGGTGTAATACTAAAATGTCTAAACCTTTAAGTAGCTCTCAACATAATACTTTTATATTAGCATTAGGCCACTATCACATTTTATGATTTTAACACCCACTCACAATATGTCTTTTTTTTTCTTTCAAACCAATAAGGTGATGCATTTGCCAACATGGTTCATGTAACATTTAAAACCATTAATGAAGGTGACAATTGGGTCATGTTGCATAAGAAATCTCTTTTAAACTTAAATAAAACTGAATTTAACTTGTCATGGCATTTAAATGTGAACAAAAATGCAACATGGCATTATCTCATAATTAGCTAAAAGGCATAAATCATAACATATAGTGAAAATAAGATGAGCATAAAACATTTTCAACCATGATCACAAGTCAAAACCAGCATGTATCCAAGAGCATTTGAAACAACAATTAAGCAAGTGCATTTCATATATCATTTGCACATTTCCAAACAAAGTAGAAATCTTATAAAATAGCCACTCTATGGCACTAGAAATAAGGATTCTGTTTTGAAGTAAACCTTGTGGATAAAATCAAATTAAAGGGCTTGTTTCGAAGCTTTGTAAATCACTATATATAGTAGCATTTTTATATATATATATATATAACAATATCCTTTTCAATCTGTTTTAAGTCAGTTTTAACAACCATGCTAAACCAAAATTTAAATCATCAAAGCCATGCTTCCTCATTCTGACAATGTAATGCAAAAAACATTTCCTAAGCAGATGAGCAAACAAGGAAAGGCGTATAACTAAAGCCAATTACACCTAAAAGTAGTAAAAGCTTTGGCATGCCCATAATCTGAAGGAGTAAATTGTGAAAGCATAAGTTAAAAGATTGTAATTTTACAACGGCAGTAATGCAAAGTCAATAATGAGGTAAAGCAATTTAAACAATTCCTCAGTCAAACTTAAGTCATCAACGCTAAGATACAGTATTTGAAAATTTAAAATTGCCATGATAATCCACCCATTCCAATGTTACAGTTCTAGCTTCTAGTTTCATGAGGTTAGAGAAACATGATAATCCACCCATTCCAATGTTACGGTTCTAGCTTCTAGTTTCATGAGGTTAGAGAAATTTGCACACTAAAAGTTCAATTGTAAGGATTACAAAATAATAATAATAATAATAATAATAATGATGATGATGATGATGAAATGAAATAATAATAAAATAAAATTTATACCAAATTATCCTTAAGATTATTGGTGAAATAACAAAGTACAAAAAATTTTAAGAAAATCTGAGACGTGATTTCCTTGTCTTTAAGGATAATTTTCACCCCTTCGGAGTACGAAACTCAGTACAAAAGGATTATAATAGTTATCCTCTAAGATTTAATAGACCTTTCTTTATTAATTTGCACAAACTAGTAAAAGATAGCAGGAATAGCAAAAAGATTTTTCTTAAAAAAAAAAACCTAGCGAGAAAGCAAGGAAAATAGAAAAGTTATGCAGAGAAGCTTTAAATAAGACGGGAGAACTGTTGGTGTGTTATGATTGAGGTAAAGAGATTGTATTTATAGGCTGAGAATGAAGTGAACATTAAACCAAATTAAGAGATTCAATGTTAAATTGAAGTGAATGTTGCACTAAATCAGTAGAGTTATAAATTAGTTAGTATGTAGATAGGGTTTGAACCTGATTCAACTGGAATGAGAACGAAGTATAAAAAATTTAAAAAAGGTCTAAAATATGATTTCATTGTTCTTAAAGATAATTTTTGCCCTTTTAGAGTAAATTCGAAATAAAAGAACTATAACAGTTATTCTTTAAGATTCAACAAATTTTTTTTTATTAGTTTGCACAAATTAGTAAAAAATAGCAAGAATAGCAAAAAAAATTTTCTAGAGAAAAAAGAACCCGGTGGAAAAGCAGGGGATTCAACGTTAGCAGGAATAAGTTGAAGTGTAGTTATTCTTTAAGATTCAACAAATTTTTTTTTATTAGTTTGCACAAATTAATAAAAGATAGCAAGAACAGCAAAAAGATTTTTCATAAGAAAAAAGAACCCAAATTCAACATTAGCAGGAATAAGTTGAAGTGAACATTACAGTTTTAAATTAGTGAGCATGTAGGTAAAGTTTAAGACTGTAGAGAAATTGTATTTATAGGCTGCATAAGCCACGTGTATTCATGCATAGGGGACAAATCTGAATTTTCTCAAAGCCAAGCCTAATCTCATGTGGGCATGAACTCACTTTTTTCTTCTTTCTTTACAACAAAACCCATAATGAGTTTACTTATTTAAAGCACTCATTCTTTTTTGTATCTTAATAATATGAGATGTTAAAACCTTATGAAATACATTTGTTCCGATAGTGATAAAGCTGTCTTGAGAGGGGGGACAATAAAGGAGAGATGAGGGAGAACCGGGGTTACATCTTGGGGTTAACGGAGAAGGCAAGGATGACTTTGACGATCAACAGGTGGAGGAAGGCTAGGAGGGATGGTGACGAATGTTGATGGAGGTAGTTAATGGAGGATATGTAAAGTGTTAAGGAGGAAGAAGAGCTGAAGAATGTAAAGCAGGTCAGCGCTCACTATTGGGAATCGTAGACTACCCAGGAGTTACAGTCAGCTACACCATGAGAAAGACAAGGAAGAAAATAAAACGAAAAAAGCAAAAAGAGAGACAAAAAAAAAAAAAAAAAAGAGTTGGTTTCAAACATAACAACCATGCACTCACAGACTTGCATCGGGAGAACAGCAAGGAGTAAAGAGTATTATTTCTATGTGTCTCAACCCTTTCATGCTCAATCTTTATTTTAGGTTGAGACAGCAAATGTTGCTGGTCTTTTTAGAAATTCACTTACATCTCCCTACAACTTCGAGAGCTTTTGTTTTTCGTATGAGTAGGCTTATGGAAGATAGGTTCGGTTCATTTTTCTGATTCATTGGTGTGATTGAAATCATATCCTAAGAAGCACCAACTTCTCATCGGCTTCTTTTCTTCTTTAAGTTTTGTTACTTTGGAACATAGGTTAGAAAACATTTTCTGGCATTCTGGCTGTTTTTTATCCTATCTCCTAAGTGGCCGAATCCTGGGATCGTGACTTTGTCCAATGCAGGAAAAAGGAAAACATCGAATGGTCAAGGATGAAGCATCTTCAGCTGTCAACAATCAATAGCATGTTTCATGGCAAGTGTATTAGAATTAACTTTGAGAAACTGGCTATTACGAGTTAACGAGAAAGGCGGCTCCTTATCTCTCTTTAGAGCCACTGTTTTGGTTGTTGAATGTAATGGTCCGTTGTCTTGAGTTTTGTTTTGAAACCATTGTTGGGGCTACTGTTCTGGCATGGCCTCTGTGTATAACTGGAAGGGCTAATGTTAGTTTGATATTGAAGGTTTGAGCATCAGTGAAGCAGGCATTCATACAACAATTAGCAGTATAAAGACATAAAATCTTCTCCTCTTTGGACAGGGGTAACACCCCCGATGATGAAATCCAAAATTAATTTTCAAAAAAAAAAAAAAACTTGCAAAATGCTCAAACTCAAAAAAGCCAACCCCTGTACAATCATTCCCTTACTACAAAAAGTTCAAGGTTAGTATCCTTGACACATAACCTAAGCTATCACAACTCATCCCTCAATTCCACCCATTAGGACCGCATAATACAGCAAATGTACACCAGAGCGAAAAACTTAACAAACTCAGCAATTGAACAAAGCGAAACAACTGAAAAGGAATAAATACCTGGCCTCTGAGAATCGATCACCCTGCAATTCCTACTCAACTGCCAACGTGTTCCTCACAAATAATCCACAGCAAGTCCTGCTCCTTGCTGGATCGGATTTCAATCTTCTAATGTACGTTGTAGTTGATTTTACATAAACTAGTTCTTTACAATTTGATTTCCATTAATAGTAAATTTATTATTTTACTTTTACACGTAACGTATTTATTTTTGTTATATATATGAACATACTTCATACCACCTTTTTTTAGTAACATATTTTAACCAAATAAAATAAGATCTTGAAGTATAAACTCATGAAAATGTATATAGTCAATCCAGTAGTAAATAATTAAACAAAATTTCCACATAACATTAATTTCTAAAATATATTAATGTCTTAGTACATAAGTTTTTATGATTATATTTAGGTTAAATGTACAAATTGAGATTAAACGTTTGAGTACTTTTTCAAATAAGAGTTAAATATTTTGATTGTAACAATCAATGGTCAAATGTTTTCGATTCCTTATAATTAAGAGATAAGTTGACAAGTAGATAAAGTGTATATCACACTCGATATATATTGAAAAATATAATTATTATATATCATATTAAAAAATTTAATTCTTATAGGCCATGATAAAAATGTAGTTACGTATCAACCATATTTTGAACTATTTTGATTTTAACAAAAAAGACATTTTGACAAAATTACCTTTCCGTATCTTATTCTTCTTAGTTAACATCCACATCATGCGCTGTCCTATACGCGCCAAACACTTCTCACATTTACCTTTAATTGTAAAAAACCGAAAATGTTTGATCCTTAATTGTTATAACTAAAACCTTTGACCCTAAATTGACAAAAACTCAAAAATTTAGATCCCAAATTAAACATTTAATCTTATACCTAACATTTTTAAACCGTCTCAACAATACCAAAATTTTCTTGAAAATTACACATACGGCACTCTTATTCATTATTAGACCTAACTGTATTTTCATGGCTGAATAGGTCAAACTTTTGAACCAGATTTGGTCATAAAATCGACTCTGGAAATGAATTCATCTGGACTTGATGAAAAAAATCTTTTTAAATTGGATGCTTTGATGGAAACTGGAAGTAAACAAGGGTTACGTGTAATAGGGTTACATGGGCCATTTTGCTTCAGATCGAGTAATGAGTGACTATTAACCAGAGCCATATAAAATAAATTCACAAGATTTTATTTGTTCTTTGTTTCTCAACTGGCTACCCAGCTACGACCTGGAGATTTCCTCTTTTCTTTTACACTAATCATCTTCCGTAGTCTCTCTGCATCCTCCCATTTATTGAGTGAAGCGTAAATATTTGCCAAAAGCACATAATTTCCAACATTTTCAGGCTCAATTTCAAAGAGATGACTAGCTGCAATCTCACCCAGCGCAGCATTACCGTAAACCCTACAAGCTCCAAGCAAAGCACCCCAAATTCCAGCATCCGAGGCACCTCCATATTCAATGATCAGATTGTATGCTTTCTCAAGGTGCCCGGCCCTTCCAAGGAGGTCAACCATGCAAGTAAAGTGTTCGCTCAATGGCACTATTTTAAGAATTTGCGTCATCAGCTCAAAGAGCTTGCATCCGTCCTCAACCAATCCACCATGACTACAGGCATTAAGGACACCTATGAATGTAACCTGGTTTGGTTTAATTCCTTCCTTTTGCATCTTTGAGAATAAAACCAAAGCTTCCTGGAACTCTCCATGGTCAGAAAGGGCTGTGATCATGGTGCTGTAAGATACTACATCCCTCTCCTTCATTCTACTGAATTCCCTCCAGGCCTGCTCCATACATCCAAATTTTGCATGCATGTGTATCAACGCATTGGATACAAAGAGCGCCCTATCTGAATTTGTTATGCAGATAAGCAGTTAAAAAAGAAGAATCAGTATCACAGCTTCTTTTATGTATATATATGGAAAGACAAAATAAAAATCCAGAAGAAACTAATCAATCCGAGCATTCAAATACAAATAGAATAGTAGCATGCTAATTACTAATACCAGCACAACTTACCGCAACATCCTTCTTCAATATTCTTAGCCAATGCCTCCGCCATTTTAACATCTCCTAATTGGGTACAAGCAGAAAGAGCACCTACTATCGCAACGTCAGTTATTCTGACACTTTGATCTCTCATTGCCACGTACATCTCAATAGCTACCTTTGCATATCCATTCTGCGCATAGCAAGCCACCATTGCTGCCCAACACGAAGCATCCGGCTTTACTATCTCGTCAAACACTCTTCTAGCCTCACTCACGTTACCACATTTCCCATAGCCCGCGATCATCGCAAGCCAAGCAACTGAATTCTTCTCCACCATCCTGTCATAAAACTCCTTAGCCGCTCCCATGTCACCATAATTTGCATATCCAGCAACCATAGCTGTCCAAGAAACCACATTGCGTTCCTCCATGGCATCAAACAAGCACCACGCTTCATGCATCAATCCCACCTTAGCGTAACCACAAATCATTGCTGTCCAAGCAACAACATCTTTCTCTTCCATTGCATTGAATAATCTTTGCGCGTCTAACACGAATCCACACTTTGCGTACATATCAAGCAATGCTGTTTGCACTACATTGTTCCTCAAGAAACCTGATTTTTCGACACTTGCATGAACTTGCTGGCCTTCGAACATTGCCGGGACTCGAGCACAAGCATTGAGAACAGAGGAGAAGGTGAACCCAGACGGGAATATGCCTTTCCTCTGCATTCTAGAGTATAATAGGATAGATTGGATAAAATGACCCTGAAAAACAAGGGAACGTATAAGGGAAGTCCAAAGGAACTGGTTTTTGCAGTTGGGTATTTGGTCGAACACATGGCGTGCGTAGCCGAGGTTGTCACCACAGCGCCCGCAGCAGCTGGGTGAGGAACTGAGTTAAAAAAGGGTGGTACTGGGGTTTAGGTAGGGTTTTGAGAAAGAAGCTATGGGTTTGTTTGAGTTGGCTAATTGTTTTACTAAATTGGAGGTAATGGGAAATGGTAGAAAATGTGTTTCTTTTTGTTGGGAATGGGCGTTGTGACATGTATGTGGTGATTCCAATAGGAGGGAAAGTAAATGGTTTTCATGGATTTGATATTGATGATGGTTTTTGTATGATGATGATTACTTACAATCGAGACTTTCTTAAGTATATTGCTTCTTGGGGTGGTCTATGTTGTCCTTGCTATTTGACCGTTGGCTCTGTTTTTCAGTTTGAATGGCTGAGTTTCATCGTGAGTTGATGCCTCAGGTACTATATATATCAAAAATTGGTGCTAGTGCTAGTGCTAGACTTAGGTTGGCCATGCTTGTTTTTCAGTTTTCGGGTTTTGATGGAGGGCTAACTCTGATGCACGGTTAAATTTTTTGGCATCCTTGTTAAATCAAATTGTTTTTATTCATGTGTTTTCAATATGAAAAATGATTATTGGAAAGATTATATCTTTTCATAACAAAAAGTCTCTTGAATCTTGATAAAATAACTATTCAAAAAATATTTTGATTCAAAAGTTATATTATGTAATATGAAAAGTTGTCTGGTTATAGCGAAAATATTATTATCCAAAATTATGCCTTGTAATAAAAAAAAATGTATTCAAAGATAAAAAATCATTGCAATGAAATGATTAACTTTGTTGTATCTTATTTGCATAATTACATACTGAGGTGAGACGAAATAAGTTTTAAACAATTTTATCAATTTCCTAAAACCCCATTTACACCAAGAGTTACTTTTCAACGTTTCAAGTAGGAAGAATAACAAGACAAATAGATGCCTAAATGGGTCAGTAGTACAAGTCACACACAAAGACACCAAATACACCTTGAATTCTATCTTCACTTTAACATAAGAATATTTCATACAAAAGGTATGCAAAGCAACAAAAATATCATATGCTAAACGGCTAATTTTAAGTGTCTAATTTCTCAGAAGAGGAAATTAGCAGTACATTAAGTCAGATTTCATGATTTGATGGACTACTATAACAGTTGGCATATATTAATAACAGTAGCTATCAAATGGGCTTATGATCCTCATTCCTTGCACACAGTGCCATCAACACTGAAATTATTCATGCAAAACCAGGCTCCAACCAATGATCCTGTGGGGAATATTTGCTATTATAAATACTGTTCCCAAAAGACCCAATGCACTGATGACATTTTCAAGGCCTTCGAGGGGCTATTTCAATAAACTGATAAATATCTGATCGTCTTTGTTTCTCCAGTGGAAGGCTCTCTCTGTAAGGGAACGGTTCAAAAAACTTTATAAGATAGGGAACTTGATATAAATTGTTACTCGTTTGCAAGTTTAGCATTAGCATTTCACCTGGTAAGTTGGATTTCAGAATAATCAATCTCTGCAACCACAACTGTCTCTTCGTGTTCTGAGGTTGCAATTATCTCTCCAAACTGGTCAGGCAGACATAAGCAATTGGTAATCCAGTAGTTGCTCTCAGATGAAACAAAAAGTAACCAAATTTACAAACTTCCCCATACCGGTGATACAAGAGTAGAATGTCCCCATATTGTATAGCAACCAGCAGAATCTCGAGAGGGTGAACACGTGGCAACAAATAACTACCACCAAAGCAGAATAGAGTTTGTGAAGGAACTTTACTTATGGAAATGCAGAGAATTACTGATAAGAAAAGCTTGATGATACCTGGTTGTCAGCTGCCCTGAAATTTTGAAGTACATAAAATTTGTTAATTGATGGCAGCACATTAACAGTACAGTGTACCTTATAATTCTTTTTTTTGGTCTAATTTTCATCTGTTAAAGTTGAATAACCTTGATTTAATAATTGATCTGGTTCAAGTCCAATACCCTCGATCCCCTGGTGTAGGGTTGTAGTCATGTGTTACATTTTTGGGAAACGGGATGAACTTGAATTATTAGACACTTGCAGGAGAAAGCTTGTAGGACAGAAGTCCCTTTTTATTCCATAATTCTTATTGTATTTTGAACTGAGCGAATAATCTTATAGTAACTGACATGATGGAAATAGAACTTGCTGCCTCCAGTAACAAGTAGAGATAGAATTCTAACCTTGTTCGCTGTACAAGCTCCCACAGCAAGTCACCAGTACTCATGTTGAATGCGCCGGGATAGCATATAATATGTGCCCCTGGAATTTGCACCTCATTTTAATAAAGTACACTAAGAAAACTTAATGGTATGCCAGCAGTAATACAGAAAACCTTTTGCTCTATAAAGCATGGCAAGCTCTGGAAAGCGCATATCATGACAAATTCCAATTCCAATTCGGCCAATGTCTGCATTTAAGAGTCACTCGTCAGTTGCTTAGCCTGCAGAAAGTCAGACGCAGACTATAAAACAAAGAAATTATCGACACATTATAGCTTCATGATTTTTTTTTTTTGAAAAGTAATAGAATTTCATTAACCAAGTAACAGCAGTTACACTCATGACCTGTACATTTATCAAAATTGTCTCCTGATTATACAAAAACCAGATCAAGGAGCCAATCTATCTGCATAGGATTTCTAAAGAAAACATTCCCTAAAACTGACACCCTGCACTATCAAGGCACCCCTGCTCATTCAAACACTGATAAACATCGACATCTGAGCAGAAATCAAGACCAAAAACAGAATCGCAAAAACCTTTGTACCAATTCAGCAAGCTTAGGCAAACACAGAACAAAAATATCAGCTTAACACATACTTCCCCTGAGACATTATAGATTCATGATACCCCAAATTTAATGATTAAATGAATCAAGCCTCCTGTAATCTCTTCTTTGTTGAATTTATATGGTGTAATTATTAGAAAGTAGTTTAATCCAGCAATGTCAATAACTCATGATCCAAGTTTGTGCATAAATAAAATCAAAAGACATATTGGATACAACAATCTCTACCAGACTCTCTCTCTGTATTCCACCTTTAAAAATGATAATTTGGTAGAACTGAACTGTCAGTACTTGAGTCAAGCTGATTCAGTGCAATTTATCTCGACAAGCATGTGGTTTGTCAAAGCAGTACGAAAGATTGCACAATTTTAGATCAGACTATCCCGTTAGCCTTAAAAAAACTGTTGATTTTGAAGAGCTAACTATACCTGTGTCCACAATTGTAGGCTCATCTCCGGCAGCAAAGGAGTCAGATTCCTTGAATGAAATATCTCCTGGGACATCAATATCAAACAGATGAATCTGCAAAAAGTGACAATTATTATTTGCTTTCTGTCTTAATTAGTGTTCAAATTACATGTTGCTAGTAGGTTTTGCCTACCTTCCTATGCTTAGCCTTGAGCTTTCCATCTGGTCCAAAAACACAGCAAGTATTATACAGCCGGCCATTGCACCATTCTGGAATAGACCCACCAACAATTGTGATTCCATAGCACGAAGCAACCTCTGATAACACTGAAAAGGAGGGCGAGGAATCTCCATTTTCAAAATCCTCAGCATACTTAGCAAAGCCATCAGCCGAGTAAGGGCAGTTCCACATTTCCTATTGCAAACAAGTAAAGGAACATGCATGAATCCAGACTTTCAAGTTCTAACCAGCATCTTGAATTGTTCAGCTTACATTTCCTAGATTAAACATAAACAATCAAACTCACGGGTAAAACGACAAGCCTTGCACCTTGCTGAGCAGCATCTTTGATCAAATTGTGGGCACGGATTAGATTCTGATTCTTGTCTGAACTAACAGTCAACTGGCAAAGCCCAACTTTAAACTGCCCAAATAGTCAAAGATTCAATTAATAACTTAGTCTAACATAAGTTTGCAACTATATTGATATCTAAAAATTGATGGAACCATTTTTCTTCAAGAAGGATCAAATCAAGAGATGAAGATAGTGGAATAATCAACCTTGGAAATAATGGGAACTTCCATCGTATTCAAGGAAGCACAAGCCGAAGTTTGATGCTGTTTACAATTTATGTAAGCAGGCATGCACAGTTGGTCTTGTTTTACCACCAAAAGAAAAGACAGAAAAAGGGGAAGTGCTTTCTAAGTCATAACCCAGTTCGTCGAGGGTGATGCCCCGTGTCTAGAGGCGAAGAGTCTGGGTTTTAGGCAGTTGGTGGAGTTAATAAATTAAAAAAGCCAATGTTAAATAAATAACTTTGATTGCCAAGATAAGGTTTTAGCATGATCACCAAGACAAGTTTTGCTGTGCTTGATATGTTAATAATATTCTTGGGATGGTATTGGTTTAACAATTCAGCAACGTGTTATTAAGTTTTCAATCCCAACTTAATGGGTTCCATTGCCTTTGGGGTTTGCAGTTGTTTCCAAATCCAAGTGCTAATCTTCCAACTTTGTTTTTACATTTTTTGAGAAGGACAATACAGAAAAGCGACTTCAACATTGTCAAATAAATGGATACAAATTGATATCATAACTAGAAGAGGAATATTTCATATCGGTTGAGAGGTAATCAAAATGTATCAAGTAAATAACATTTCCAGAGTACGGGGATCACAGTGTCAACGATCAAAATTTGCAATCAAATATATATTAAAATACAGCTGGTAATGGTAATAGAATTAACAAAAAAACAAGAGGGAAGGATGGAATAGAGGACAAATCAACTCGACAATGCTGCTTGATAAAATTACTCATAATACAACAAAAGGACAACTCTGGTACTTGCAGCCCACAACCTTTTTTTTCAGAGCAGGGAATACGGGCATGGTTAGGTCTTCAAGGGAGCCTTTTTCTCTCTATCAGATATTCGAGCTGGAGCTGTTGAATGTGATTTGAAGCGGCCTCTCCCTCCTTCCTCTTTTTCCTGGAATATCCAAATCCCTTTTTGTTCAATTTACTTTTCAATAACAAATACACAAACAGCCAAGCAAGTTCTTAAATTGTTGGAAAACCAGTACTAGAAGCCATGCAGAACGAACTAGATTACTATCAAATGAGTTCACAGATTCAAATACCTTTTTCTTTACAATCTGAACAACATCTTCATCCTGCAGAGATTGCGCAAGACCACAATGTTGAGGGTAGTGTCTTGCACTTGTGCCCCAGACCAGAACATATTTGACATCCTTTAGCAAACTCCTATGTATGTGATTACAGAAGTCTTCAACTGTGCAGCCGCCTCTATCCTATCTCATACAAAGAAAAATGGATTAAGAGAAAGGAAAGAACAGTCAGAGAACTTCCCGCCTAGATGTAACAGCATATACTAAATAGAGTAAATGCAATGATAAGAAGATATGTGACATACAGCAGAGAGAACCAC